GGGAGGGAGGGAATGTCAATCAAGGGCTGCCAAGAAGACCGCAGCTAAAAGCTCTTACTGCTCAAGCTTGGGGACTTGAGTCTGACCCCTGAAACCCACATAAAGGTGAAAGGAGAGAACAGACTCCACAAAAGTGACCCTCTGGCCTCCACACATGAGCCACAGCACACACAACCCCCACACGTGTCCTGAATGAAACACACAATAATAATAATTTTAACTTAAAAATCAGGAGATGTGGAGATGATCCAGTGATTGAAGGGCTTATGCTGGCAAATGTTGAGGACTGAGTTCAAATCCCAGAACCAATACAAATGCAGGGTGGGTGTATTAGTCAGGGTTCTCTAGAGGAACAGAACTGACAGAATCCAGTGAGTGTTCAGTCCACAAGGCTGGATGTCTCCGCTGGTCTTCAGTCGACACCTGAATCCTGAAGCAGAAGGCTCTAATGCCAGTGAAGGAATGGACTTGCAGCCAGAGTGAGAGCAAGCAGGCAAAGAGAGAGCTTCGTTCTTCCACGTCCTTTATGTAGGCTGCCAGCAGAAGGTGTGGTCCAGATTAAAGGTGGGTCTTCCCACTTCAAATTATGTAATCAAGGAAAATCCCTCACAGGTGTGGCCAGCTGTTTGGTTTTTAGTTCGTTCCAGATGTAGTCAAGTTGACAACCAGGAAGAGCCACACAGAGGGTGTGCAGCCTTTCTTAATTCCAGCCTCTGAAGGCAGAAATGGAGACCCCAGAGCAAGCTGGCTGTGGAGAGTAGCTATATCATCGAGTTCTGGGTTCTACTGAAAGACCCTGTCTCACTGAATAGTGTAGAGATCGATGGAAGATGACTCCTGCCGTGAACCTTGGGCTTCCTTCCACATGCACTATAAACACAAACACACACATGAACCTACCCGACACATGCAGACACGAACATACACCCATGCATACCATACACATGCATATGAAAAAGGAAAAAGAAAAAAAGTCAAAACAGCCCTGGAGATAGACTGCAGTAAGGCCCCAAATTGGGGCACTGGTGCTAACTACAGACTCAGCGTGCATGTTGGGTAACCTGAGCTGGCCCAGCCAAGCCCCTGCTCCCTAATTTGGGAAGTAAAAATGGCCTTCTGCTCAGAACCTTCTCCACATGAGCCCTGCAGAAGATCAAAGGCACAGTGTCCAGAAGGGCCCACGGTGGCCGGCATAAAGTCATGATTTGTAGTGTCTAGTCACAGAGCTTGGCTTTTCCATCTGTTTGTCTTTGGTTTTTCATGTTTTATTGTTGTTGTTGTTGCTGTTGTTCATTTACTTATTTCTGAAACAGAGTCTCACATAGCCTAGGCTGACTTCAAACCATCATGTAGCCAAGAATGACTTTTAACTCCTGATCTTCCTCTTTGGACTTCCACATGCTAGGATTATAGGTGTACACTACCATGGCCAGTATAGCACCTCATTTTTCATCCATCTAATATGATATGACATATGATGGTATGGTATGGTGATTTGTAGTATGATATGGGAAGGGATGGTGATATAGTATGGTATGATACAGCATGATATGATATGGTATATGGTACAGTACAGTATGGCATGACATGATAAGGTATGATGGTATGGTAAATCATGATATGGTATATTATAGTACAGTTGGGTGACAGGTTTCATCTGGTATATTATGGTATGGTATGGTATGGTATGGTATGGTATGGTATGGTATGGTATATTTTGACATTGTAAGCTATC